ATTACAAAAGATCTTGCGAAATGTTGGTTATTTCGACTTTTTTCTCACCTCTTTAAAGCATCTTTTAAAACGTACAAGATACTTTTGGCGAAGGTGTGACAAACATAAATCGTAGACTACTCGAAAGAGAAGAAAATTTTCTATCAACTGATAAAAAAATATTATTTTCGAAACTTTTTTATTAAAGAGTTGTAGAAAAGATATAAGGATCGACATTTTGTCGAGTCCTTTTATAGAACAAGTTTGAATTTTTTTTAAAGAGTATTTCTCTATTCTTTTGTACCATTTCATTCATAATCGTCATATAAAAATAACTTGTTAAAAAAAATGCTTCTTTTCAGCTCTTTTCTATCGTATGCCAATTTATTTTCAACCTTCACATCGCACAATCATTTTTGCTCAATGAATTGAAAGCGAACGAGAAATTATATTGATGAAACTCTCTCCTTTTCCGTTAAATTGACACGAAAAACCTCCAAAAGTTGTCATTTTTTTAATTTAAGTGCTGAAAATTTTTTTTTAATTTGACATTGAAATTCATAGCAGTAAAAGTTTTCTGCGACATAAGATTGAGCTGTATGGGATGTTTACAATCATTTGCTATCTCAAATAGAATATTTTATTGACATTTCATTGGAATCTAGGATCGAAAAATGTCAAGTTTATCCAAATTTATCATACGATCTTAATCAACCTGTTAAACATCAAAGAACATGCAAAGCCGATGAAGAGAGTAAAAAGAGATGAATAGTGATACACAACATGCAAAGAGTTAGGGGTAAAACGAGTAATTAAAGAAAGAGAAACAAAAGATAAGGACAAAGTCAAGAAAAAGCAAATTAAATGAGCACTATATTTTTGCTTACTTCTATGATATCCCGGCTTGAGATTACAAATTTTCGAAACTAAATGAATTCTTATATAAAACTTCGCTTTCTGAAGTTTACGATTATTTTCATTAGAAAAGCAACCAAAATCTACGCATTGTGCATCAAATCGGACTTCAAATATATCTATTTTCCTTCACATAGGAGTGTCAGCATTCTCCATTCCTTAGCGACTCATTCCTACGAACAGAAACGCATCTCGAAATTGCATTTTCCAGGTTGCCAGAAGATTCAAACTGACTTATGTATCTTGCTGGAAACTATCAAATTCGATATCGACTTACTTTGGAATCTGGCGAATTCCATATAAAAACTGATCGGAACCGGAACAAATTTCAAATCGGATGATAACGAAAAAAGATCCCATCGATTCCTGTCAAACCCAACTATGAAAAATTCTGATAACCCCTCGAATCCTTCCACTAACAAAGAACGGAAGACACAGAAATCCGTCGGAAGAGATACCACTGGTTAATCAAGAAAAACAAGAATTTGGAAAGAACGATGACAAGAATATTGACTTGTGTATATTGAAAATACATTCTAAGTATTGTCTTACTGGCAAAAGTTATCAACTCTTATTTTAGAGTCATGCAGAGACCGTCCACGTTGTTTTCTGTTTCCTGTAGTCGTCTCATTTTTTATTCATTATGAAAAGATCACTAGGAGATATCGACTTGTTATCAATTCACAATCACTTTTTGTATATAAACTAGTCTTTTATGGAGCATGATCTAAAAGAAAGGTTGAAGTATAGAGATAAAAAGTTAAACTTCATCGTCCTCGCAGACTAGACAGATACTATTGCAATAACTTAATGAAGATTCATATCTTCTTATACTAAATCTTCTGTATGAAACATCGATTTTCATAATCTTTTGATACCAAGTTTTATAGTAACCTGATGGACACTATTAATCGTCTTCTTCTGATTGGAAATATTAAATTGTGTAACAAATTAAAAATTTCATTACCAAAACTATAAAAATAATTTTCAATCCGCAATGAAAAAAAAGAACTTGATACAAAGATATTTGTTTTTCACTTTGGAAATTTTTAGCATCATCATCTCTAATCTTGTTTAGTAAATAATCATTTTCAATAGAAATTTATCCTTGCTAACTTTGTCTTTTTAGTAAAAAAATCATTTTTTTAGACTAAATTGAAAATAAATTAGGTTTTGGTATCAAAAAGACAGAATTGGTTGACAAATAAAATTATTTATATCACGTAGAACGATGAGAAAATTTTGAGAACCCTAATAATCTTTTAATAAGAAGTACACTATATTGTTTTGTCTACAATAAAAGTTAGAAGACATGATAACAATGTTTAATTTACTTTTCAATAATCTTTTTATATTCATCAGTGTCAAACTGGTTTCTTACTAATACTCGCCAATTAAATGGATTTTATAAAATGGAAACAACGACGAAACGATATAATGAGAGATGTTGAAAGACAAATTAGATATCGTAACATGAGGTAGATACAAAAAAATTCTAGTTTATAAAAGAAGAAAAATATATTATTTGTAAGAAGATGACAGCATACAAACAAAAAGTGTTTGCCATGTTCTTTGTGATAAAGACAACTTTAATTATTTGTCAGCTATAGTCTATACGGTTTATTGGTACTATCTAATGATCACAATCTAGATTATCATGTCTTCTAAGACTCGAAACTTTTGTTTTGTTCGACCTATGGACTAATAAAGGATTGTTTGAGTAATATACTTATAACATAGTTTAGAGGTTTACTGTTCTTGATATTTTTTAAACAAGTTGAATATGAAAATATAACAAATAATTTTATTTCTTAACATTAAAGAAAAGGCAATCATTCAATGATTTCAAGTTCAACAACAACAGCCAAATGATCACTTGGAATTTTACATGATGGTAAAGCTGTAAATTCTGTAACTTCTTCATGAGTTGGCATTGGTATAGTACGATGAAAATTAAATTTTTTTGAATCATAAAAAATATGATCAATAACACCGTGATAATTCAACATATAATTAGTATATGCATAATTCGAATATGTACTTAATTCTATTGAACTTTTATAATCAAAATCTTTTATTATTTTAGCATAATCTTAAATGAAATATAATAAATATATATAAGACAATTATTTGATGAAAATAAATACCTTCATTGTATGATCGATGGTTTGTATCAGTTAATAAAACGCCAGTAAATATAAGATGATATGCTAATGATGTTACATTAGCATTGAAATCTCCACTCCATATAATAGACACATTTTTATTCTATTTAGATAGATTTAATATTTGAGATAATTAATATATTAAAAAAAAAAGAATATATTTTTACTTGTTCTACATAAATTTGTTTGATTTCTTTGATACGTTCAAATGCAATCATTACTTGTAAACATCGAACTATATCAGCTGTTGGATGAAAGTATAAATGTGTGTTACATATTAGAAATACTTCATTTGATTGTCCTTGTAATTGTAATGCTAATATCTAAACAATATTATTATGATATCATATTTATTCTTATTTTCATGAAATATAAATCTTTCAAATCTAAACCAAATAAATATATAATTGAAATTAATCTTTGAATATTTTCATGAATATGATTGAAAGATAAAATATTAATATTAACCCTTAAAAGCCGAAGGGAGTTTTTCACGTAAGAGACCAAAGACAACCATAAATATAATGCCTGTTGACTCTTAGTATGCTTCCTATATAGTCAGAATCCACTATATTGTTCTTCTCTTGCTGTGGCACAGAGCTCTTTGTTGAAAATCTCGAACCTCAGCAAAACCTTCAAGGGAACAATTCGAAGCTGAAACTTTGCTCAGAGCCTCTTTTCATTGCCATCAATTGTTCGTGAAATTTTTAGTGAAAACAAAATTTTCTTTCCTGAAATATTAAGCATAGAAGAAATTAGCAAGTATTAGCAAAAACGTGACTTCTCTTTAGCGCACTGTATTTCCTGAGCCAAGACATATCTGTTGCTGAGAATTCGAACATAATATAGGCAGCCCCTTAGCTATTTATAAGCGAGCTTTCCAGCGAGAAAGCTATTGCTTTGAATTCTTCATGTGCATGTCCTTCATTTGATCTTCATTCTAGCATTTTCTACTGGTAGAATGCAAAACAATTCACTGAATGGTCTCATTAGATACCTTGATAATGCCTGCGACGATAACTCTTAGAAAGAGGAAACTGGGAAGCTTGTGTTTCGAATTTACGAATATCTTAGACAAGGTAGTGGATTTTGAAAAACTATGAGTATTAGAACTCATCTGGCAGTCTTTAGAAGTCAACTCAGAATCTCATCGCGACTTCTAGATAGTCGCTAGGGTCATGTTAGTTCAGAGAAACTCCAGTTTCTGTACATAGATCCTCTTAGTGGATTTTTTTCTAGTTAAACTAATGTCCCTTCCAAGGGACATTTGGCTTTTAAGGGTTAAAGTCCTCTTCAAAAATCGATCTCAGTTTAGAAACAACGAAGCTTGATTTCTTAAATCACTCTTTTCAAAAGCAAAAAAGGAATTAATAGTTTGATGACTGAAAAAACTCTCGAAAATTTCTGCCAATTAATATAAATGATTACATATGTTTGATTAAAATAAGGTATCAAAAGAAATCCTGATGCATTTATCTCAATTTTGATGATTCTAATGAATGAAAACTGATGTTTTTTTTTTGAAGGGAAAAGAGAAGCTTCAAATAAGATTCAATATGAATGAAATAAAACAATTTATTGAAGATCGTTTCTAAAGACCTTACATTAACATTAATATATAACTCAAAGCAGTTTGAGTCAAATGTACAAGTGTACGTAATATATGAAGCATAAATCTGAATGAAACAACATAAAGTTCATAAAATTTAAATTTCATCTTCGAAATACCGCCGTCTTCGGATTGTCGTTTCCGATAAAGTATTTAATTGACGTGTATTAACATTACTTCTAGTTACTGAATAATGTCGAAGGTAAAGATCAATACCTCGATTTAATTCAATCAATAGTGCAAAAGCCATACATGCAATAATAGCACCAAAACAGTCTTAAAAAAGTCATTACATGTATTTTTTATAGGTTTCTTTTTTTTAATTTTTACATTATAATTCACCTCCAAATGAAACAATATTTAAATTATTGATCATAAAATTGTTTTGATAACATTTAAATGTTAATGTCATCTTTATTTTTCTGACAAAGTAATATCTACAATAAATTTTATATAAATTTTTATATATGTTTTCAATTATCATGTCAAATATTTTACAATGACAATGATGGTTTATGTTTTTTTTTACGACTACAAGTGACAGAGCAAATGGATTATATCAAAGAAAGAAGAACAAAAAAGAAAGGTGATCATCATCTAGAGCCATGAATAGAACAATGACAAGTTTTTAAAAAAAAATAATAGTAGTAGCTCATAGTAGTAAACAAAAAGAAAAAGGACCGGGTAAAAACAACGAGATTTGATTACATACAAAAAAAAAAGAAAAAGATTTATATAAATTTTCATTTTCTTTTATAAATATTTGTTTTTAAGTATTCTGTTTGACTTAAAGTTGACGTGTTATGTCGTTTCGTTCGGGTTTTACTCTTTGTATTGTTTGTTGTGGACATGAATCATCATTAAATAATTCATTCATATCAAATTCAAGATCAAGTTCATTATCATCGTCATCATCATCAACTGAGGGGATTTCATTCTAAAAAAAAAAAAAAACAATCAAAGTAATAAAATTTTTTATTAAACAATGTTAATTACCTGTTCTAGAGAATTTTGAATATTATTTGTATCTCCATGACTTGTACTTGCAATTAAAGATGGTGATAAAGTTGATGATGATGATGCTGGTGTTGTTGGAGATGCTGAATTGATTGTTGTAATTGTTGAATCTGTTGTTTTATTAATAAATCGTACAATTGGTGGTTGTGTTGAATGTTTTTTTTGAATCATGACTTGTTACACGAGATGTTAAACGAACAACAGGTACTGTTGGTTTTAAACGTTTGTTCTAATGACAATTATCTACAGAAATTGGAGGACGTTTTCGATTCTATAATAACAAATATAGATTGTTATAAAATCCATTTCTGTTCTTGTAACGATCAATAAGGCCCTGACTGGGTTGATACGTAATGACAAACTGAATAGAGGTGGAGTAGCTTACCGCCACTCTCGGCAATGATGTTTATTCGCTTCTTCACATATCCAGAGTGTAACAACTTCATACATAATACGCATATATATAGGAGAGAGATAGAAGAAAGACAGGAGAGAGATATATTAGAACAACGGCAAGAGAACAGACAGAGAAGGAAGGAGAATCATCGAACCGTGTCATCAATATCGGCACAGGGACCTTTCTCGTTTGTTGTGAATTTGCCTATGACTGACTTTTTACGACGAGTAGTGACATTGTCCGTTCTTCAGACAATCAAGAGTGAAACTGAATCTGATTCACGGTTCACTTTTTGTTTCTCTCATCATCACAAACAACCGAAATTAGTAATAAACTTGATATCTACTCTACCCATTTCTACATCTCTTTCTAGAAATCAAATCGAACGGACAGTACAGCATGCATTTGCTGATGCATGCGAATTTACAGCACCTCTAGGTGTCCATATTTTGGACAAAAATTGAAATCCAATAACACTGGAGAAAGTCAGTGACATCATTAAGATTCATTTAGAAAAAACAGAAATAAAGAATTATTTGAGTCAACGAGACGTTTCAAGTTCGAGCTTAGAATCAGATAATATTCAAGAAGAGTTTGATCCAGAATGTTTTCTAAATGTTAGCAACTACACATGTCATGGTATGCGCATTTATGACACCGTTAAACATTCTCTTGCACAGTCATATTTTAAATTGTCAATCACTGGACAAACACAATTTTTACATAAACAAATGGCTTGCTAGTTGGTAAATGCATGAGAAATCATCAATCTCATTGAATAGTTTGAGACGTGAATCATAAACAACTCATAATATCATTTTCATCTTTTTTGAAATATAATCTGAAAACTTAATGAATTGGTTTGTTTCATTCCTATACTCATAATTAAAATCATCGACACAAGTTGATATGGAGCGTGAATAATATTCTGTTTTACTTAACTCTTCTTAGACGTACTTGAGAGCTCAGTGAAAACTGATAAAGTAACCACACTTGTACGAAATATGATTCAGAAAATGTTTCTATGAAGCATTGTGATCCACGCCATACTAAACTCAAGATCACAATAACTCATTTAACTGACGCACGGCTCGTTTAGGTTGTGCTAAAAACAAGACAATAAGTAGCGTGAATACTCAAGCATCACTAAATATAACCGGTGTACGAAAATAAATTTAATCAAAAACATTAGATTTTAATCAAAATCTCAATGAAAAAAGTCTAAAAATTCTGATTTCAGCTATTCCCTCTTGAATTATATCCAAATAATCAAATAATTAAGATTTTGTGAGTGAAAAATGTTCTTTATTACACATAGTCCATTCGTTTACATATCATGTTCAGAACAAGATTACAGTAAAAATTTGTTAAATAGGAGTCAATGAATGTCTTTCATTAAAAAACAAGAACAGGTCATTTTTTTGGTTTACGTGATCCTGAATAACATTTCTTGATTTCTTCACGATGTTTAATAGTCATATCATGAATTTGTCTCTCTAATTTATTAATATTCTTGTTCAAGTCTCTGGAAATATACGTGCTTCTTTGTTCTCTTGTTTTCACCAACGTGTCAAGTTGTTTCATTAATTCCCAGCGACGTTTTTTAATATCATTGACAATATCCACGTTACTCATTGTCCTTGATGAAAAACTTCGATTGATTTCTAAAATAGAACAGAAAAATGACAATAATATTTTAACTATAAGAAACACAGTAGGCCATTGGATGTAATATTATTATCAATAGTAGAGATATTACTTCAAAAAAGCTACCAATAGTAGTAATACGCTATGTAATACAGATTGATTCGATATATGGGTATACAAACTTCGAAAATCACTTGTTTATCTTTATATTGCATATGAATAATTTGTTATTCTACAAAAGTATAACAATATATGTCTAATGTATTCCAAAGTATAATATGACAGCATCAGCTGAAATCTATTATACTGAAGTAGTTCAAAAATAAAATTAAAAGCAGAACATTCTAACCCTCATTCAGAAAAGTTCTAACGGCACATAAAATATGACCAGTAATTAGTGTATAACGATTTTATGACATAAAATTTGAAAGATTACTAGACTACAGTCGAAGTTCAGAGCATAAATCATTCGCTAATCGACGTTTAACTAAAGTTACGTACCACTAGATCACATGCTTAACAAAGGCAAATACATCCCTATATTAAGAAGATATGAGAAACTTTTTCGTTCATAGATTAACTAAATAGAGTAGATCTATGAACCAACTGCCAATATTTTTGAGTGCATGTTTTAAAAAAATGACGAAAACTTTTATCTTCAGACTCGACGTCTATAAAAGTCTCATAATGAACCAAATAAACCAAAAGTTTATTGGTTTTGAAATTCTAAAAATTGTTTATCTTTTATCTTCTTGACTATTGACAAAAACTCTTGCAAATACGCTAAAGGAACAAAACTCAAGAGCAAAACTATTTTAAAAAAATCAACACTAGATTCTCTCGAATATAAATTCAATTTATTTAGCAATTAAAAGAGTTCACTTTTATCTTCTCTATTTCATAGAGACTGCTAAAAATCTTCGCCTACTCTAATGTTCTATTTTTATAATATCAAGCTAGATCATACTTGCATAAATTTGGGAATTGATCAAAGCAAATTTCGAGCAAATGTGAGAAAAGTATATAATATTTGGCTTATCAATCAAGTATACATATGCGAAATGCTCTACTATTTCTTTCTACAACAAAGGTAGGATAGAAAAATGAAAAAGAAATACGTTTAACATAATCATTGCTTGAAGGACAAAGAATCATTTCATCTAATTTAATAGCATTTCATATTTACTTTCGACTATTAAGCATATGAATGCTTGCACCACCCAGTAACAAATCCTTTTTGTTACATATAAAATTCTATATTCTTGGCAATAAGTGAAATATGTTTCTTTTTATGTTTTGTTGATTCAAATACTTATAAATGCAAATGGCTTTTTTCTGATGACTACACAGACTGTAAATTCAAATTGTGTTTTCATGTTACGATCAAAACTATGATAGAATTAATTAATACTAAATGTAGATGTTTAAATAGTGTCAATCATAGTGTTTAAAGCATTTGATTTATATTCAAAATATGAAAATCATTTCTTTGAATGCAAGAAAAAATATTTCATCATATAGTGCTCACATATCTTAAAATATGTAGATAATAAATCAATTGATTAATTCTTATTATACTGAATATTTACAAGCAATTATCGATTAGTTCTTTCTTTCAATGTACAAGGTCGGCCATAAAATAGCATCACGATGAGAAATTAAAATATTTCTGCATTGGTTCGATTGAATGGACTGATTTTGTTTGGTAGTGATAGAAACTTATTTAAAGTTTTTTTTTTCCATAGGGATAATATAACCAACGACTAATGCGTCAAGTTATATTTTTGGTCTCAGTAAAGAAGTTTAATTCATTGTCAAATAAAAAACCTTGCATATGAAGTGCTTCATGAATAATTTTCGGTTGTCATCTAAGAGAATAAGAAGAAGAAGAAGAAGTCAAAATGAACTTTATTGGTGTACACAGAGTAATTTTTCAAAACTAGTAGTCAGTTTAATCGTTGAAATCTTGTTCTATAAGTAAAACGCACAATTGCAACCCATTAGATCACTGACCTGACCTTCCTGCAAAAAAAACAGTATTCCATGTTTGAAAATTTTGACCGTTAAAAGAGTTCTAAAAGCTTGTTCTATCTTCATCAATACAGTATTCATTCATAAAGTTCGTTTTGATTTCCGCTTCTTATTCTCATAGATTGGCAACTGAAAATTATCAATAAAGTGCGTCATATGTATTTTTCGTATTTGATGATAGGCGAACTTTTTTTAGTGAGACCAAAACTATAACTTGACAGTAAACTTTATTTACGTTATCCCTGTGAAAAAAAAATTAAAATAAACTTCTACCACCAACCAAAAACTCAGTCTATTCAAGCGAAACAAAGCGGAGACATTCAAAGTTTTTATCTAAGTGCTATTTATGAATCACTCTGTGCACTCGAGGATCGAGTCACGTTTTTTCTCCTACGATGTTACAGTACATATATCATTAACATCAGACTTCATTGATATTCGACATCTTATATAGTGACAAAACAGTATCAATATATCTACAAGCTTTTTCTGTTTCTATTTCAAGATTGGAGTTCTAGACAATGAAACTATTGTTATTATGAGATCGTGATCGTGTGTTCTTTTTTTTTGCGAAGGAACAAAGAGTGATGAAGAAAGGAAGAGAAAGTGGCATTCTACACTGTCGACGGATTGCGAAGGAAAGAAAGAAAAAATAGAAAAAACAGTGATGTAGGTTATTAGCAAACATTTTTTCGTTCTGTTCTTTGTATTGTTTTATAGGAGCTCAAAAAGAAGCTTGACAGTAGTGGGATTCGAACCCACGCCACAAGTGACCAGTACCTGAAACTGGCGCCTTAGACCGCTCGGCCATACTGTCAATATGGTTCTTTAGAAATATACTTATTTAAAATGAATCTCATTTCATTACAATAATACTCAATTCTTCTTGTTGATATATAATTGTAGAAATCAATGATTCATTTCAATCATCTATTATTGATCATGTTAAAAATGCAGTATGTTTCATAAGAACATTTAGATTGTCGAAACTTATTATTTGAGTACTTTGAAGAAAGAAACTCGTTATTGACCATTTTTACTAAGCTTGTAAAAATAAATGTAAACATACAATTTATCAATCTTATTTCTGAAAAAGAACTATAAAATCAATAAATAAGAATAGTTAACATCTATTTTGTTGTTTTCGATGTTTCGTAAGAAATTTTTTTTTCTTCTCTCTCTCTATTCTTTAATTTCATTTTCGTGATAAATAATTCTAATGTATTTTAACTAGATATATACAGAACACATATGAGACGATTGCAAGCCATTTGTACAATTTAGCTTCGATTTTTGTTTAAATTTTCATTTTTCGCTGGAATGATTTTGCGTATTGGGATAGATAGTACTACTAAAGAAATAAAGGAAGCCGGCAGTTGTCTCACTACCACTATCAAGAATAGCCGAAATTACGAAAAATTAAAGAAAACCTACCCCCGCTCAGAAAAGTCGATTTTTGGTGAAAAGCATGAAAATTGAGATAAATGCAGAGGAAGATAGTTCGAGGTCTGATCTTTCAAAAATGACATGATTTTTTATTTAGCACTTTGTTTTTTTCCAAAAGATTTCGTCATTTTCTTCTTGAAAAATATGATTTTTCTTTGATCCACGCATAAAGAACGTAAGAAAACTTATTTTAGCATGAGTAAACTCGTCTTCGTCGCTTATCAAGGGTTTTGCACGTCTGTTTATATGAGTCTTTTAAACAGATTTCGATTCATATAAGATACGTCTAGGTTTCTTTCTGTTTTGTTGGAACAACATTGGTTTTACTGTCAAAAAAAACTGTGACGGGACAAAAGCTTGACGGGACATTTGATCAGTATTTTGCAATTTTCTCGGCAACGATAAAGAATTAAGAGTTGAAATTTGGAGTATTCGTTTTATATTTAGCAATCTACTTTTGCTGAAAATTATTCTGATTATGATTTAGTAGAACTTGAGATACATAAAAAACAAAAACAAAAAACATGACAGGACATTTAGCGAGGAAGGCGCGTTTTCAGATCTGAACTTTTTTATTTTTGATCTAATAAAAATTATCATAGATTTCTTTCAAATCGCATCTTGTTTTCTTTTCTTCGCTCTACCTTTTGGCTATAGTAATTGAGTAGGGCTTCATTCAAGTTTTCATTTCGAAAAAAACGGTTGACTGCATGACGGGACATTTTTTATCAAATCTGCGACCACGAATATTTCGAGCAAGTACAAACTAAATAACAGCAACTTGGCTAAATCAAATAGCACATTTTCTAGTCAATCTTACGGAGATACTAATGAGTTAAAATGAATTTTTAAAACGCCTTTTCAACAGAAAAAAATATCACCTTAATTTATCGCCGTTGGACATGTCCATGGGAAATTTAAGTGAAAAAACGACATCATTTTCGCGCTTTCTAGTGACAGACAATAGCTAGAGGGCTGATTTTAGCAGCCAAACTAGTCACACGTGTGAAGGATATTTTCTGATAAAATTGTTGAATTTGATTGAGAATTCTGGAAGATATAAGCTTAGCCATTTTTTTTATTCAAACTGTACAAATGGCTTGCAATCGTCTCACATGTGTTTTTTCGAGAATATTTACTTTCCGAAAACAAACAATAATTTACTAAAAAAGGACACCATGACCAAACTTCCAAGACTATCTAATGATTATTGAATTAATTTATAAGCAAAATTTCAGTAAAATGGTCATAACTCTTCACCAGTAGACTGTGTCCAAATCCGTCAAAGCTTTGTCTGACGTAAACACAATCTATAGAATGAGACAGGAATGAATTAAAATAAAACTGTACACCACTCACATAGTTTCCTTGGAAGAAATCTATTCTCTTCTTTTAAATATTTATAATCGCCTATGAGATACAAGATTAAAGTATCCCTCTTTGGTCATTGTCTTGATGAATTTCAACATAAGATGTATTAGTAAACTTCTTATAAGGGAAATTTCCCTACTGATTAGTCGTTTTTGAGCTGAAAGCATTTGCTCTATGGAGATCTTAATGGATTATGAATATCAAAAAAAAAGAGTTCGAGTTCATAACTTGTTGCTATCGATATATCACATTTTTCAACACAACCCAATAGCTACTCTCCAGAATACAAGAAAAACTACTTTCCGAATTTCGACTTCACAATTTGCATAAGAACAAACTTTAACGAGAATAATTAATTGTGAAAGTATCAAGCTTTTTGATGTATTTTTATCCTGAAATAAGAACATTGACTCTACAGATGTTAATGAAAGTTGTAACAGGCGTACTGTTACCATGGCTGTATTTTATGGTAGTGACAACAAAAATTTCTGAAACATTTAAAATAAACGGTTCTCGTCAAGATTAGTTTCTATGCAAAGTTTCAAATCGAAATTTGAAAATCAGTTTTCCGAGTGTTTTTCACAGAGATCTTACCATCGTATTCAAGAATGTCAGATGTCTGCAGCTCCAAGTTATGGACCTAAACTATTTTTTGGAAATACTCGTAACTCATTATGTTCTACTTGGTGCATATCATTCCAATTTAAAATCGATTCATCAGTCGAGACACTTTTCTTGTTAGTATTTAATAAAATGAACCTCATCGCATTTCGTATTTATTTTTATATTCTCTAAGCCAAAGTTTATATTATAAATTTCTATTCTTTTTTTTTTTTTATTAGTGCTGCTGCTCATAATAAATTAGGTAATAATGATCAAGCATTAAGTGATTGTTTCCGTTCAATTGAAATCGATCCAAATTATAGTAAAGTTTATGGAAGACTTGGGTATGTTAATATTAGTGTTTTTTTTTGTGCAAAAAAAAAAAGAATATAAAATTTCTTTTTTAAATATAAAGTGTCATATATCTATCATTGGACAAAGCACATGAAGCACTTGATGCTTATAAAAAAGCTCATACACTTGATCCCAATAATGAGAATTATAAACAATCTATACGACATTGTGAAGATCAATTGAATGAATCAGAAACTAATAATAATAATAATCCGACTAATGTAAATTTATTGTTGATTATAAATTTTCTGTTGAACATTTATTTATCTAAAGGGTCCAAATCTAACATCCATGTTTGGTACATTATTAGGTGGTACAAGTGGTGGACCTAATATGACGTCTTTTTTTAATAATCCTGCTTTAATGAATATGGTTTGTTAGTTTCATTGTATACATATACAAATAAAATATTGTTAATAGGCAACACAATTTGTTCAAAATCCACAAGTTCAAGGATTGTAAAATAATTATGTTTTTGTTATATAGAAATTTTTATATATATATATTATTTTAATAGAATGGCTAATTTAGTAACAAATTTAAATGGACAAGAAGGTGGTCCAGCTGGCTTAGATACTTTATTACAAGCGTAAGGTCAAAAAAAAAATATATATTTTGATATAATAAATTTTATTTCATAGAGGTCAACGTATGGCTAGTGACTTATCAGCTAATAATCCTAATTTAGTCGAGTCTCTTCGACGTAATATGACTAATCAACCGAATAGAAATAATAATTCAACATCAAGTAAGTTACAAAAACAAATTTATTTCTTTAAAAAACTTTTAATTATTTATTTTCTAGATTCTAATAATGAAGGAGATCAAAACAGACCATCATCATCATAAAAAAACATTATTTTATCTTTTTTCTTCTCTTTTTCTAAATATAATATTGATTATGAGAAGAAAAAAAAATGTTTCGTTTTATTTTAATTTAGCATAATATGCCATTGAAGCAATACCACACATATTATCAGCATCTTTAATTAAACGTAAATAACCTTTTTCACCCCATTTTGTTCCCCAAGAATTTTTTATTATCCAATAAGGTGTTTTAAGTGCTTCATCATAACCATAGCCTACAACAGTCATAGCATGATCCATATCTTGTGGATTATTTGGACAATTATCTATGTTAAGTATACCATCTTGATAAAACATAAAAAGTTTGGAATTAGCATCAAGTCCAATAAACATTGGTCCGTAATTAGTAATTGCTTCAGCCATTTGTTTTTCATCTCCTAAAGGAATCTCTACATATTCAACTTTACCAAGATCAAGTTGAGTAACACCGTCTGTTCGACATGATTGTTCTTCTTCAGCATAAGGATATGAAGCTTCTGTAGCTATTTTACCACCTGTTGCTGAAAAATAACTAATACTTGGTGGAAAATTCCCACCATTACAACCATAATTACCATAATTTTCCTTTGAACAATCAACTAGTTGCTGTGGACTAAAGTCCGTAGGTTTTTTAGAATTCTTTTTTATAGCATAAACTGATTCTAGAACTGCAGTTGTAGCAAATGCGTAACAAGATCCACATTGACCTTGATCTTTAACACTAGTTACAACATTTTTTGTACGCCAATCAAATGCTTTAATTTGTTCATTAGTATCATTGCTACTTGTTTCAGACAATTGTCTATCTTTATATAGACGTTTTTTCAAATTTCGTTTTAATCTTCTTGAATTATGATGACGCTGATAAAATTTTGCTAAACTACGTTGTAATGCATCTTCATCTGATTCATCATCTATTAAATTTCGTCGTATACTAGGCGGAATTTTTAAACCTTTTTTGAATGCATCAAATTCTGCTAATGTCCAATCAGAAAATTGATTTAATCCTAATTGAAACGTACGTAATTTTCCCAAATTTAATTTTAATACATATTTAAGATGGTCAATAAATATATGACGACGTGCTTTTTGTTCTTCTACAATAACAAAAAAGTAATAATTCATTTTCTTATAATCAAACAATTTTATTTATAACCTAACCGCTCGATGAATAAAAACGACGATATTTTTCTTNCATTAGATGACTGATTCTTGTTTGTATTGAATTAAGCAATAAAGAATTAATGTACCTTGAATAAAAACGACGATATTTTTCTTTAAAAAAAGACCAAATTCGACGGATAGTTGTATCATTAATACTAGATACTCCTTGAAGTCTGAATTTATTAGCATCAACTAAACGATCAACATAATCTTGAAGAGATCTACGATCATGAAATTCTTCACTAGATGTGCATAAACCAATTAGAAGAATCAAAGTAAATAATATTATATATAACTTCATAGCTCGATTTCTATGCGTAGCCAAAATAAATGGAATGAAATACTAGATATTTTCGCTCTCTCTCTCTCCATATATATATATATATATATATATATAATCTGTGTTTTTATTCAAGGTACATTAATTCTTTATTGCTTAATTCAATACAAACAAGAATCAGTCATCTAATGTGTTTCATTTTGAATATATACGATTAGTCAAGGAAATATTAAAAGTCGAAATTTGTATAGTACATATTGTATGGGATTATTTTTACGTGGCCCACCAATGAATAGGTATTTCGATCGAGGTTTCGATGTGGCTAAATAGCGATTACTTTAGTACTAAATATGCAATAAATAGGATTCAAAAAATAAATACTATTCATTGATAATGTAATTTAGTTATTGTGAAAAGAAAATATTATAAAAAAAATATTTATATTCTTTTTCTATACATGAAAAGACGACGAGCATGCAGTGCACATTTTTTTTATAAATGTGTTATTAATGTCATGTAGACTGTATTCTAAGATAGCTAAACTATGTTTATGTTCTGTTAAGTCTTCCTCTACCGCCTCAACAATCGATCTTGGATCAGGTATATTGAAATCGCGTAGTGGAGAGCCATTGTTAAAATTTTCAGTTATATACCATGATGTTTTCAGGAGATATTCAAGAAACAAGATTCAACAATAGCTAATTTAGCAACACAAAATTCTTTGTGAATCTTCATTCTACAGGATGTGCCAAAAGTAACACAACATATAATGTTTTTCGATTTTCTCTTGGTACATAGTTATTTTGATCTCATATTAATATTAGATATACTAGGGGATAGAATTCAAAGATTCAATATATGATCAATATTTAGATGTGGTAATTTGTTCAAAAGCATACACATACAGGGCGGTCAAAGATAAGAAAACAAGTCTGACTTCTAATAAAACGTTCATCAAAGCAACAGAACAAGAAAATGACGCATCCAATTATACGTATTTGTGAAGTATTTTTAATAGTAAACTTTTCACAAGAATTGCTCCAGTACTAATTGACATACTCGTCGACATAATTCCACTGGCAAGCTTCCTCTTATTTATATGCTTTTGAACACGTTCCGATATCTAGTTGCTGACCATATGCTTCATTTTTGAATACTATCACTTAGTATATGTGGCATAAATGTGAGGTCTAACTGACAACGTATAAAACAAAAAAAATGGTGTTGGGTAACTTTTGGCTCACCATGTATATTTTTAAGGCTTTTTATATTCGAAAGACTATGTCAGATTGTAATGCCAACCGGAGTTTTTTGTTTCACATTTTGTACTTTTTATGACAAGATCGTCATCTAGGTATAGAACTGCTGTTTTTATACATTAATAAAAAAAATCTTAATTAAAAAAAAACGTGTATTGTAACTTCACATGTCTGTTCATGTGCCATGGATACCTTCTTTTAGTTCCAGCCTACGAATACATTTTGGTAGCCACTATGTCCGTAGCTTGTCAAACTATTGAAGACTAATATTGTCTCTTTCTTATAGTTTAATAACTATGTAAGACTGCATTTTTACTGATGATTATTGAAAACATTTTAACGTTCGTATGAGACAAGTCGTGATATATTTGCAGTCTTTTACGGTGTTAATACGGCTATATAAGACTACTTTAATTTAGTTGTATAGGAGCCGTTTATAGGCATTGTATAGAGTGTTGTCTGGTACCGAATTAAATGACGGTTACAGTAATATTATGGTATACAGATGACTAAAATACGGCTATATATGATCATCGTATTTTTATTTCTAAACAGATTGTATACGATAGGACACGAATACAATCTCTAAATTATCAATCAGGTTTATGACATGTAAATGAGTCGTATATGAAGGGAAACGGCATGGTAATAACTATCGTGTTGATGCCATGGACTCAGAGACAACAATATAGTAGCAAATAACATAACCTTTTGAGCAAAAGAAGGTCATTCATCGTACTTCAATTACATATTAAAGTATCAAGAATTGATCATGTATTTGATTAAAAGTAACGCAACATCTAGTAGACAGCTTTCTCGAGTAAAAATCTTGGAACAAAAAGTAGGCTCTGTTCATTACAATTCTTGTTTCATTTAAGCAATTAGGGCAAGCTCATAGCTCTGATTTACATGCTTTATGGATTGCATACACACAAAGTTTTAGACCTCTAGTATCTTTCCAGTCTACTCTCGATTTTCAGTGCATGTTTGAAGTAGAATAAATTGTATATTTATTAGATTTTCGTTTATTTATACGGTGAAAACATGTTACAAATATTGAAAACTATTTTTTTATTATTTGAGATGCATTGATTGAAATTAATTTATTTACTTGAATTTCGATGCTTTTGCTTTTGTCCTTTTCTCTTCATTATTGACTAATCTTTCAATCAATAGATGCCACATGTAGATCTTCTATCACTTGTATCCAATAAATTGGTAACGAAAATTTTGTAATCATACAAACTTATGCTTATTATGCTACTTATTATTATAATCGGTTAGTCAGATATGGAAAAAAAAGACAGTCAAAGTCTATTGTAGAATTCTATACTAATTTAAAACGAAGAGTTCTTAATTGAAATTTTGCCTAGAAATAAATTTAATAGTCATTAGATAGTTTTGAAATTGTCAACGAAAATATACAAGTTTTTTTTTCAAGATATTTACTTTCCGAAAACAAACAATAATTTACTAAAAAAGGACACCATGACCAAACCTTATATCTCGAGAGAAACATATATATTTTTGTTGAAACTTCCAAGACTATCTAATGACTATTAAATCTATTTCTAGGCAAAATTTCAGTAAAATGGCCATAACTCTTCAGCAGTAGGCTATGAGTCCGAACTCGTTAAGGTTTTGTCTGACGTAAATATAATTTATAACATGAAATAGAAATGAATTAAAACGAAGCTGGTTATCTCAAGTACTTTCCTTGTAAGAAAATTATTTTCTTCTTGTAAATATTTCTAATGGTCTATGAAAGATAAGGTTAAAATGTCTCTCTTTCATCATTGTCTGGATGATTTTCAACATAAGATATATTAGTAAACTTCTTACGAGAACAGTTTTCGAACTGATTAATCACTTTTGAGCCGAAATCACTTGCATCATGGAGATCCTAATGGACTATGAACATTCCCTAAAAAGAGTTCAGACCCATAAGTTATTGTTGTCTAAATATGGCATTTTCAATATAATGCTGTGTAGTCTCTCTCAAGAGCATCACAAAAACTGCTTTTCGAATTTCAACTTCAAATTTTGTATAGAAACAAGCTTTAATGAGAATAATTAATTATGAAAGTATCAAGCCTTTCGATCTATTCTTATCATGAAACAGGAGCAACCACAATTTCTGAAACATTTACAATAAACGGTTCTCGTCAAGGCTAGTTTTCATGCCTTTTAGCAGAGCACAGCATGGTATTGAAAAATGCCATATGTCGACAGCAATAAGTCATCGATCCGATATCTTGTTGGCACTATTTATAAACCATTAGAGTCTATATAATGCCCACAGTTCCAACTTAAAAGCTATTGATCAGTTGAGACACTTTTGTCATTAGTACCTAATAAAACTAACTCTCTTGTATTTAGTATTTATTACAATGCTATTTACAAATGTAAAAACAGAAAAGAAGATTGTAAATGAATTTTCATATATTTATTTTTTTTAAACATGGTGGATTCCATTTAACAGTTTTCATTTATTTTTCTTCAATCTGATTCATATGATAGTTTTTTTCGAATTCATATTTGATTATAATCTGCTTATTCAATAGATTTATTATCAGTTTGTTGTATTACGTTTATTGATAATTCTTGTAATGTGAAGAATTTAAGGTCAACAATATTAGTTTAAATAATCCTGCTTTAATATATATATATATATATATAAAGATGACTACAGTAATATAATGTTTTATTCACAATATAAAATAATTAAGCATTAAAGAATTGAAGATAATGATCAAATAGATTGGAAAATATTTGGAATCCATAAATTATACTATTTTTTCAAAAGAAAAAAGTATAAATTGTCTATCGAATACAAAGAAATTTAATAAAAAGACCGCATTTTACTTGCCTCACTTCTATAGATGCTCTATCACATGTTTCTAGAATTCGTACCACATCTATAGTAGTTAAAACTATACTTCAACGTAAAAACACATATAAAATATGAAGCGAAAGAAAAAGTCGTAAAAACCGTACATTTTATCGCGTTACGAGCGTTTGAAACTATTCGAGGTTGTAAAAGCTCGTTTCAGAATGATAATGCGCATACAACGCGTTAAAATGTGCGGTTTTTATAATTTGGAAGGGATTTATTCTTGGGCCATTTTTACGATTTTTTTTTTATTGTTTCTATCTGATAAGCTAATGACTCAGATCAAAACAGACCATCATTATCATCATAAGACATTGTTTTATGGATTTTTTTTAAATAAAATATTGGTTCAAAAGAAAAAAAAAATTGTTTTTATGATAGTTTGCCATAATATGCCATAGAAGCAACACCACACATATTACCAGCATCTTTAATTAAACGTAAATAACCATTTTCACCCCATTTTGTTCCCCAAGAATTTTTTATTATCCAATAAGGTGTTTTAAGTGCTTGATCATAACCATAACCTACAATAGTCATAGCATGATCCATATCTTGTGGACGAGTTGGACAATTATCTATGCTAAGTATACCATTTTTATAAAACATAAAAAGTTTGGAATCAGCATCAATTCCAATAAATATTGGTCCATAATTAGTAAGCGATTCAGCTATTTTTTTTTCATCTCCTAAAGGAATTGCTACATATTCAACTTTACCAAGATCAATTTCATTAATACCACTTGTTCGACATGATTGTTGCTGTCCTACAAAAGGATAAGAAGCATGTGTAGCGATTTTACCACCTTTTCCTGATAAATAACGAACACTTGGTGGAAAATTGCCACCCCTACAACCATTATTTCCACTTGAACAATCAGTTATTTGTTGTGCACTGAATTCAATAACATTTTGAGATTTTGTTTTTAAAGCATAAAGTGTTTCCAGAACTGCAGCCGTAGCAAATGCGTAACAACATCCACATTTAGCTTGATCTTTAATACTACTTACAAGATTTTTTGTACGCCAATCAAATACATTAGTTTGTTGATTAGTATCATTTTTATTTTTATCATTATTAAAAAAATTATCAAACCAATCACGCCAGAATCGTCTATCTTTATGTTGAAGTTTGTTCAAATTTCGTTTTAATCTTCTTGAATGATGATGACGTTGATATAGTTTTGTTAAACTACGTCGTAATGCATCTTCATCTGGTTCATCATCTATTAAATCTCGTCGTAAACTAGCTGGAACATTTAAACCTTTTTTTAATGCATTAAATTCTGCTAATGTCCAATCAGCAAATTCATTCAATTCTAATTGGTATGTGCGTAATTTTTGAAGGTTTGATTCTAATACATATTTAAGATGGTCACGAAATATACGAAGACGTGCTTTTTCTTCTTCTACAATAAGAAAAAAGTAATCTTTTTTGTTACAATCAAATAATTTTATTTATCAACTAACCGCTAGATGAATAAAACCGTTGATATCTTGTTTTAAAAAAAGACCAAATTTGATGAATAGCTGAATCATTAATACTTAATACTCCTTGAAATTTAAATTTAGCAGCATCAACAAAACCATCAACAAAATCTTGAAGAGATCTACGATCAAGAGATTCTTCCATAGATGTACATAAACCAATGAGAAGAATCAGAGTAAATAATATTACACATAACTTCATAGTTGAATTTTTATGTGCAACCAAAGTAATGGAATAAAATACTATTTATTTTCTCTTTATATATATCCATACATATACAAAGCGCAGATTCTTTTTTTTGCTTAATTCAATACATATAAGAATCAATCATCTATTGCGTTACATTTTTAATATATACGATTAATCAACCAAAAAAAGTACATATTAAATACCGAAATTTGTATAGTGTATATTGAATAGGATTATTCATATTTTGTCAACCTATTAATAAGTGTATTGATCGAGGTTCTGAGGCAGTTAAATAATCATTACTTCAGTACCAAATATACGAAAAAAAGATTCACTAAATAAATACTATTCATCGACTGTGTAATTTAGTCACTATAAAAAGAGAATATTAGAAGAAAATCACTGTATTTTCTATTTTTATTCATGAAAAGATGACGAGTATACAGTGGAAATTTTTTTAGAAATGTGCATTGAAAGCGCGTAGTGGAGAGATTTTGTTAAAATTTTCAATCATATATCATGCCATTTTCTGGAAACCTTCAAGAAACAAGATTCAAAAACAGCTGATTTAGCTGCATGAAATGCTTTGTGAGTCTTCATTCTATGTTTATGTTTAATTTTATTTGAAAGACTATGTTAAATTCTAATGCCTGACAGAGTTCTTTGTTCTAAATTTGTACTTTTTACGCGCAGTAAAAGCGTGACAAATTCAGTAGATACAGATAATTATCTTCTATATATAGAAGTACTTTTTTGTATAATAATAGAAGATCTCTATTGAGAAAAACGGGTACTGTAACTTCACATACTTGTTGAAGCAGTAAAACACAATTGGCTACAATGAAACTCTTTCGAGAATTCTTAGATTTATCATCAGAAACGCATAAACAAAGAAAAAAAGAAAAATATTTCTTGCTTTCTAATGAAAAAATTGTATTGTTTGTGAAAGATCCGACGTCAACCTATAATTTCATGCATTCATCTTAATTTTGATTAATCTAACTGAAATAGACTTTTTTTTTTTCGAGGGGAAGAGGACTTTAATAAGCACTTTCTATAGTTCTCAAATAAATATACAGCATATTTGAAAAATATTTCTTTTCATTCATTATTTAGGCTGTAAATTATACTGTTTCAATGAAGTACTTGTTACAAACGTAGCATGAAATTGCAGAAGAAATCCATCGACAGGACCTTTCGTTTTTTTTTGCAATCAAATTTTCAATGATTCATTTAACGTATAAATGCCTAAATGAATCTATAATTCAATAGATATATGTTTAACAAAAGACAACTCTATATTCGTTATGTTTACAAGCATTTCATCGTCGCTGATATAATATTTTCGTTCGCATAGTGGTACATAGTTACAACTTTCGTTCGTTTGTGTTATTTTCTGGAATAACATTTATACGAATCATCACGAATTTTTTCTTTTCTTCCTATGTGTAAATATCTAAAGTACGTATTTTGTGTTATGAAGGCCTCGAAAACAGAAATCAGTCAACACTCATTGACCATATGTAGATCTTTTATCGCGTTTATCTAATAAATCGCTGCCGAAAATTTTATAGAAATAAAAAGATTATTTAATGGAATATTAATTTTTTCTTTTCTTTTTTATAGTCAACGAATAAATTATTAGCATAGGCAAAATTTCAGGTCAAAAATGTTCATTTTAGTTTTTGTCAGTAAGAAGAAACTCACAATAAAAATTTCGGTTAAACGGTCATAACTCTTCATCAGTAGACTATGGGCCAGACCCTTTAAGGCATTGTCTTACCTAAAGATAATCTATCATATGAGATATGAACGAATCAAAAAGAAACTAAACATCTCATGCACTTCCTTCGTAAGAAAATAGTTCTCTTCTTGTGAATAATTCCGATAGCCTATGAAAGACAAGGTTAATATATCTGTCTTCCGTCATTGTATTAGCGAATTTCAACACAAGACATATTAGTAAACTTCTTAGGAAGGACGGCCCGAAACTGATTAATCGCTTTTGAGCCGGAAGCATCTGCATCATGGAGATCCTAATGAGTCACGAATACTCTGCAAAAAGACTTCGGATTCATAGGTTATTGCTATCTAAACATGGCATTTTCAATACAATGCTGTGTAACTTCCTCTCAAGAAGACCAGGAATAAACTGCTTTTCGAATTTTGACTTGAAACTTTGTAAAGAAACAACCCCCTATAAAACAGGTGTACACGAGATATATAACAGACTTGCTGTTACCATGGCTGTATTTTATGGCATAGACAACAAAAATTTCTGAAATATTTACAACGAACTATGCACATCAGAACTTGTTTCAATACAAAGTTTCAAATAGAAATTCAGAAAATAGTTTTCCCAATGTTCTTGACGGGGACCACATCACTGTATTCAAGAATACCATATGTTGATAGCAAAAGTCATCGGTTCGAAGTCTTTTTTGGGGTATTCATAAGCCATTAGAGTCTATATAATGTCCACAGACCAAACTCAAAACCGATTCATTAGTTAGAACACTTTTCGAACTAAATAGTTTATAGCAAAACTAACTCCATCTTATTTCGTATGTATTACTATATTCTCTAAACCAAGGTTTGCATTATAAATATTCTACAGAGCATTTATTTATATCAAGGGTTCAAATCTAACATTCATGCTTGGTACATTGTTAGGTGATACAAGTAGTGGATCTAATATGATATCTTCGTTTTAATAATTTGGCTTTAGTGAATATGGTTTGTTAGTTTCATTGTATAAATATGCAAATAAAATACTCTTAATAGGCAGTACAATGTGTTTAAAATCCACAAGTTCACGGATTGTAAAATAATTGTGTTTTCGTTATATACAAATTCTTGTTTATATATTATTTTACTAGAATAGGTAACTTAGTTAAAAATTTAGCTAGCCAAGAAGGTGGTCAAGCTAGTTTCGATACTCTATTAGAAGCGTAAGGTCAAAAAAATATGTCCATGTGAGACGTAATATGAGTAATCAATCTCAACTGAGCAGAAATCATAATTCAACATTAAGTTAGTTACAAAAGAATTATTTCTATTAAAATCTTTAATTATTTATTTTCTACATTCTAATAATGAAGCAGATAAAAACAGACCATCATCACAAGACAATATTTCATCCTTTTTTTTATATAACATATTGATTATGAGAAAAAAAGTATATCGTTTTATGTTAACTTAGCATAATATGCCATTGAAGCAACACCGCACATATTACCAGCATCTTTAATTAAACGTAAATAACCATTTTCACCCCATTTTGTTCCCCAAGAATTTTTTATTAACCAATAAGGTGTTTTAAGTGCTTCATCATAACCATAGCCTACAATAGTCAAAGCATGATCCATATCTTGTGGACGAGTTGGACAATTATCTATATTAAGTACACCTTTTTCATAAAACATAAAAAGTTTGGAGTCAGCATCAAGGCCAATAAATATTGGTCCATATTTAGTAAGCACTTCGGCCATTTTTTTTTCATCTCCTAAAGGAATCTCTACATATTCAACTTTACCAAGATCAATTTCATTAATACCATCTGTTCGACACGATTCCTTTTTCTCTGCATAAGGGTAAGAATCCTTTGTAGCTATTTTACCACCTTTGTCTGATATATAACTAATACTGGGTGGGAAATTGCCACCAACACAGCCATCATTTTCATACTTTTCACTTGAACAATCAACTATTTGTTGTGGACTGAATTCAGTAACATTTTGAGATTTTGTTTTTATAGCATAAAGTGCTTCCAGAACTGTAACAGCAGCAAATGCATAACAAGATCCACATTTTCCTTGATTTTTGACACTGCTTACAGCATTTTTTGTACGCCAATCAAATACATTAGTTTGTGGATTAGTATCATTTTTCTTGTTATCATAATTGAAAAATTTGTCAAACCAATCACGCCAGAATCGTCTATCTTTATGTCGACGTTTGTTCAAATTTCGTTTTAATCTTCTTGAATGATAATGGCGTTGATATAGTTTTGCTAAACTACGTTGTAATGCATCTTCATCTGGTTCATCATCTATTAAACTTCGTCGTAAACTAGGCGGAATCCTTAAACCAGTTTTGAATGCATCAAATTCTGCTAATGTCCAATCAGAAAATTGGTTTAATGCTAAATGATATGTACGTAATTTTTCAAGATTTGATTTTAATACATATTTAAGGTGGTCAATAAATATACGATGACGTGCGTTTTCTTCTCCTACAATATAACAAAAAAAAAAAATAAAAATTATTTTTCTTTTAAAATCAAACAAATTTATTTATAAAGTAACCTGTCGACGAATAATAACGGCGATATTTTGCTTTAAAAAAAGACCAAATTTGACTGATAGCTGAACCATTAATACTTGATGATCCTCCAAGTTTGAATTTATTAGCATCAACAAAACTATCAACATACTCTTGAAGAGATCTACGATCATGAAATTCTTCACTAGATGTGCATAAACCAATGAGAAGAATCAGAGTAAATAATATTATAGATAACTTCATCGTTGAATTTTTATGCGCAACCAAAGAAATGGAATAAAATACTGTAGATTTTTGCTCTTTATATATTCAAGTTACACGGATTCTTTTTTGTTTAATTCAATACATGCAAAAATAAATCATATAATGTCTTTCATTTTTAATATATATGATTAATAGAGCAAAAGAAAAAGTAACTATTAAAAAAAACAAAATTTGTAGAGTGCATATTGAATAGAATTATTCATACACTGTAAGCCGATGAATAAGTATTTCGATTGAGGTTTCGAGGTGGATAAATAACCATTACTTTGGTATGACATATGCGAAAAGAAAAATTCACAAAATAAATACTATTTATCGATAGTGTAATTTAAACATTATGAGAAGAGAATATTATTAAAAAATATTTATATTTTATTTCTATTCATGGCAAGGCCATGATTATTATGGAGTAGACATGTTTTTAGAAACGTTTTATTAATGTCATGTAGACGGTATTCTAAGATAGGTGAAACTATTTCGTGTTTTGTTAAGCCTTCTTTTACCGTATCAAAAATCGATCTTGGGCCAGATGCACTGAAATCGCCTAGTGAAGAGACTTTAATAAAATTTGTCATCATATATCATGACGTTTTCGGGAGATATTCAACAAACAAGACTGAAAAATAGCTCACTTGGCAAGCTGAAACTTTTGATAGTGTCTGGCACAGTCTTTTGTTTTAAGATCTTACCTTTTAAGCAAAGTGAAAGGATCAAAAATTCAATGGCTTCAAAAAATATCATCATCTATGTGTAGAACTATTTTTTTTTATATAATAAAAACTTTTAATTCAAAAAAACGGCTACTATAACTTCACTTACCTGTTGAAGCAAAAAAAAACAATTGGCTACAATGAAGCTCGTTCGAAAATTCTTCGATGCGTGATCAGAAAAACATAAACAACGAAAAAACGAAACAGATTTCTTGCTTTGTAATGAATAAACTACATGATTTATGAGAGGTCTGATGTCAATTTATCATTCCATGCATTTATCTTAGTTTCGATTAATCTGACTGGAATGCATTTTGTTTTTGAAAGCAAGAGTACCCAAATAAACAGTTTTTATAGCTCTCAAGTCAATATACAATTTATTCGAAAATATTTTAGGCTGCTAACTAAACAATGTCGACGAAGTAATTGTTACAAATGTAGTGTGAAATTGAAGAAAAATAATGGTAGAAACCTATCAGCAAGGCCTTTCAATTTTAGTTGCACTTTCATTTTGAGTGATCTATTTATCGTATAATACCTAAGCGAAGCTATAATTCAATAGATACATGTTTACAAAAAGAAATAACTCTCTAAGCAGTTTAATTACGTAAAAAACCCATTGAGTGTGAGTGAAGAGAAAACTTACACTCTACATCTCAATTTTTTATTCGTTATGTTTACAAGCATTTCATCGTCGCTGATATAATATTTTCGTTCGCATAATGGTACATAGTTACAACCTTAGTTCGTTTGTATTACTTTTTGGTATAGTGTTTGTACGGGTCATCGCAATTTTTTTCTTTTGTTCCTATGTGTACATATCGAAAGTACGCATTTTGTGTTATGATGACCTCAACAACAGAAATTAGAAACTATTCATTGGAGCACGCGAATAATATTTCAAGATTAAATTGGCACTATTCGTTTTCCAATCTATAATAGGAGCCGATGTTGAATCATACCTCCATGAAAACATTCGCATACGGCTGAATTAAGGTGATTATCGACCTGGATATGTCGATCGTATACGACAAGCTGTATTTCAGTTAATTATGATACGGTATGGTTCTTTTTATGGTCATCATGTAAAGTTCAGTACTACGTAGTGATATACAATTGATAGCTGTTCTCAAGCTCTATCGAATGCACTTAGCTATGCAGCTTTGAAAGATTTCTTTGGGTTGCAGTTTATGCTAGATAAAGTTAATATCACTGTTTAGTCAATATAGAGAGGCATATCTTATGTATATTTCAAATCTAACATTTCCTCGTAAGAATTCAGCACTGTACATGTTATGAATACCTGTTTTTAGTTCTGATCTTCAAATGCTATTCTGTAGCCTCCATATTCATAACTTGCCAAGCTAATGAAGACTAACAGTGTTTCTCTCTTATAATGTAATAACTATGTTGGTTTAGTTGTGTAGATACCGTCCACAGACAATGCAAAGAGTATTGTTGGCTACAGAATTGAACGACGGTATACTGCGAAATGACGGTACATTAATAGCAAAAATGGGCTAATATTGAGTAATCCTGTTTTACTCGTAAACTGATTGTATACGTAACGGACCGTAATTTATCTCATGAAAGGTTCTGTTTCTTAACTACTGACCTGGCAAACCGACAAATTTTCATGAACTTTCTCTATTTCATATCATGGAGATATACTGAACAGATACCAAGTTTTTAAATAGACAACTAATTTTATTCGTTACAGCTGATAAAAAATAATTATTCATAGGAATAATCAAATGATCAATTGTTATCATTTTTTTCAAAGTACATTGACATGAAATAGCAGAAGTAGCACAATAATAGATTTTATCATATCTCCTTATAAAATTCTTGATGATGATCAAAAATCAAGCATGCTCCATCCTGCATTTTTTCCTAGAAGCGTAACTCGTATACCACATAGTGATACTTCGTTTTCTCTATTTTATTATATTTTTGTATTCATTTCTCTTCCGATTCTTAATGAGCTATATGCTTTGACTCTGTTTGCTATTAGACAATTAATTACTTCTATGAAATGTCAAGTATTAGAACAATGCTGATTGTTCAATAATTGACGAAATGGTGTTTGTTTTGTATTGTATTAAACAATAATTGTTTATCTAATGCAGTGAAAGATCAGAAATTTTATAGTTTAAAACTGGCGTCAAGATAATTTTTCAGCTTCATTCTTTATATTAAATATATACGTTCAACTTGAGTTTTTTTTTCGATTACGATTTTTAAATGATGTTTTTTTAACGAGAAAAATCTCATAATATCCGAGTTTAGTTAAAAAGAAACAAATAAATGGCTATGCATACTTAGGTACACATAGCTGCTTGACTATGTACACTGAGATAGGTATAATCAATTAATTAGTGAATATTAAGTTTTACTATAGTCTTATATCGCTTAATCTCTTAGACTTTGAAACGAATTGGATATATTGTATTATTTTCAATGCATTTAACATAATGATCACTGAAAGATATCTATCTATAAAACAATAATGATGAAATCTTCTCTTGTACCTGTTTCTGATTCTAGTTCTAATTTTGGTAGCACTTTCTATTCTTCAAAGAATTTTACTTGAAATGCTTGTTTTAACTCTTCTTCTTTAGTGAAAATTAATCAACTAGTCTTAATAAAGCGTATTGTTCTAGATTGAAAGTTAATTGATTTAATATATTTTTCAATTTCCCATTTTATGTACCAATAAACTATGAAAAAAAGATAGAATCTTTCGTTCTATAATTTATCAGCAGAAAAAGAAGGTACAATTAATAAAGAAGAACAGGATGGACGTAACATGATTTTCGCCCAATGTTTTGAAAATAATTAAGAACAACTATTTCTTGAAAAGCTTAAGAAAGTAAGCGCTAGCAATGCTGTCAAATTAGTTGATCTTTATTTGAATCAACTTTTTCTTTTATAATTGTTTAATTGTAAGACTTGATTTATACTCAATTTGAATTTAATAAAGAATTTATAGAGTAAAACTATTAATAATGAAGTGCATGTTAGACTATAATAAAACTTAGTAATCACTAACTAATTGATTATACTCATCTGAGTGCACAAAGTCGAGTACTTATGTGTACCTGACTGTACATAGCCGCTTCTAAAGTTTATTGAACAAATTTCTAATTTTTTTATTAATGCTGCTGTTCATAATAAATTAGGTCATAATGATCCAGCATTAAGTGATTGTTTTCATTCAATTGAAATCTATCTAATTTATAATAAAGTGTATCGAAGACTTGCGTATGTTGTAATGAAGTTTTTCTATGCAAAAAAAGTTACAAGATTTTTTTAAATATAAAATGTCATATATCTATCATTGAAAAAAGTACATGAAGTACTTGATGCTTATAAAGAAGCTCATACACTTGACCCCAGTAATGACAATTATAAATAATCTATACAACATTGTGAAGAACAATTAAATGGAACAGGAACTAATTAGTACTAATCCGATAAATGTAAGTTCATAGTTGATTATAAATTTTCTATAGAACATTTATTCATGACAAGGCTCCAAATCTAACATTCATATTTTTGGTACATTGTTGAGTAGTGCAAGTGGTGGATCTAATATGATGTCTTTATTTTAATAATCTTGCTTAAATGAATATGGTTTGTTAGTTTCATTGTATAAATATGCAAATAAAATTTTGTTAATAGGTAACACAATTTGTTTAAGGTCAACAAGTTCAGGGATTGTAAAATAGTTATATTTTCGTTATATAGAAATTTTTATTTATTTATTATATTAATAGAATGGCTAATTTAGTAAGAAATTTAAATGGACAAGAAGGTGGTCAAGTCAGTTTCGATACTCTATTAGAAGCATAAGGTCAAAAAAAAATGTTCATACGAGACGTAATATGAGTAATCAATCTCGACTGAATAGAAATAATAATTCAACATCAAGTAAGTTACAAAAAAATCTTTAATTATTTATTTTCTAAATTCTAATAATGAAGCAGATAAAAACAGACCATCATCATAAGACAATATTTCATCTTTTTTTTTTTTTGAATAAAATATTGATTATGAGAAAAAAAAAGAATTTCGTTTTATTTTAATTTAGTAGAATATGCCATTGAAGCAACACCACACTTATTACCAGCATCTTTAATTAAACGTAAATAACCATTTTCACCCCATTTTTCTCCCCAAGAATTTTTTATTATCCAATAAGGTGTTTTAAGTGCGTTATCATAACCATGACCTATAATAGTTGCAGCATGAGTCATGTCTTGCGGACGATTTCGACAACTATTTATTTGAAGTATACCACTTCTATAAAACATAAAACGTAGGTGATTAGCATCAAGTCCAATAAATATTGGTCCATTATTAGTAAGTGCTTCAGCCAATTTATTTTCATCTCCTACAGGAATCGCTTCATATTCGATTTCACCAAGTTCAATTTCATTAATACCCGCTATTCGGCATGAGTCGTTATTATTAGCATAATGATAAGAATCCTCTGTAGCTATTTTACCACCTTTTCCTATTAAATAATTAATAGTTGGTGGATAAAGGCCACCTTTACAACCAATATTCCCACCACTTGAACAATCAACTATTTGTTGTGGACTGAATTCAATAACATTTTGAGCTTTCGTTTTTAAAGCATAAAGTGCTTCCAGAACTGTAACAGCAGCAAATGCATAACAAGATCCACATTTTCCTTGATTTTTGACACTGCTTACAGCATTTTTTGTACGCCAATCAAATAGATTAGTTTGTTGATTAGTATCATTTTTATCATTATGNTAATCAAGCAAAAATCAAATATCGAAATTTGTATAGAGTATATTAAATAGGATTATTCATACATTGTCAACCAATAAATAAGTATTTCGATCGAGGTTTCACGGTGGATAAATAACCATTAGTTTAGTATGACATATACGAAAAGAAAAATTCACAAAATAAATACTATTCATCGATAGTGTAATTTAACCATTATGCCATGAGAATATTATTAACAAATATTTATATTTTATTTCTATTCATAACAAGACCATGATTATTATGGAGTAGACATGTTTTTAGAAACGTATTATTAATGCCATGTAGACGGTATTCTAAGATCGGTAGAAATATTTTATGTTCTGTTAAGTCTCTTTCTATCGCCTCCAAAATCGTTCTTGAACCAAGTAGATTTAAATCACATGAAAACTTCTAGATACGCTGGAAGTAAAGTGTAGAGGCCATGGCAATATTTTCAGGCATATGTCGTGACGTTTTTGGGAGACATTGAGCAAACAAGATTCAAAAATAACTTATTCAGCAATTTGAAATTCTTTCTGGGCCTTTATTCTATATTTTAAATTTTTTTTTTATATGAAAGATCATCTCTGGTTATAGTGCCTGACAGAATCTTTTGTTTTAAATTCGTATCTTTTATGCAAAGTAACAGAATAACAAATTCAATAGCTTAATCATCTAGGTTCTGAACTGCTTTTTTATATAATAATAAAAAAAATATTTATTCAAAAAAACGGCACTGTAGTTTCACATGCCTGCTGAAGCAGAAATGCCATTGGCTACAATGAAGCTCCTTCAAAAGTTCTCTGATGCATGATGAAAAAACATAAACGGAGAGAAAATGGAAAAGATTACTCGTTTTCTAATGCACAAATCATGTTGTTTGTGAAAAATCCAATGTCAATCTATCACCTCATACATTTATCTTAATTTCATTTAATCTGATGGGAGTGGACTATTGTTTTTTGAAGGCTAGAGGGCCCAAATAAAATAGTTTTTATGGTCCTCAAGTAAATATACAGTTTATTCGAAAAATATTTTTCTTTATTGAATGTTTTAGGCTGTCAATTATACAGTGTCGATGAAGTAATTGTTAAAAATGTAGTGTGAAATTTTAGGAAAAATAAAGAAGAAATCTATCGACAAGGCCTTTCGATTTCTTTTTTGTATTTCCATTTTCAATGATTTATTCATCATATAATGTCTAAGCGAAACTATAATTCAACAGATGTATGCTTAACAAAAGAAATAACTCTCTATAAGCAATTTAATTACGTAAAAAAGTCATAAAGTGTGATTGAAGAGAAGATTCACACTCTTCATCTCAATTTTTCATTCTTTATGTTTACAAATATTTCATCATCACGGATACAATATATTTGCTCGCATAGTGACATACAGTTACAACCTTCGTTCGTTTGTGTTACTTTTTGGTGTAGCATTAATACGGATCATCACAAGTTTTTTTCTTGTCTTCCTATGCGTACATATCTAAAGTACGTAGTTTATGTTATGATGACCTCAACAACAGAGATCAGAAAGTATTCATTGGAGCATGTAAATAATATTTCAAGATTGAATTGACACTATTTGTTTTCCAATCTGTAATAGTGATGCATGCTCTGCTTTTTTATTTATATGAAGTTTCTAATCAACTTTTTTGAGTTGTTTGATATATCCATGGATAGCTTTTCTTGAGTTCTATCGCATCTACTTAGCTATGTAGCTTTGAAAGATTTCTTCTGGTTACTTTTTTGTTTTAGCCGATGTTAAGATCACTGTTTAGTCGATATAGATTAGCATATTTTATGCCTGTTTCAATTTTGTCGTTTCTTCGTAAAAATTCAGCACTGTACATGTTTTGAATACCTGTTTTTAGTTCTGATCTTCAAATGCTATTCTATGGCCTCCATATCCATAGCTTGTCAAGCTATTGAAGACTGATATTGTCTCTATCTCATAGTTTGATAATTATGTAAGACTGCATTTTGGCTCATATTTTCTAAATCTAATGCATAACATTTCACAATCGTTATCAAGAATAAGTGACATTGTGAAAAGTATCCTATGTATAGGGGAACATTGAAAGCATTAGGATGCTGGCATAGGGTAAATAGAGATAGATTGACAGTCATCGATGATATTAATACGGTTATATAGGGCTATCTTAGTTTAGTCGTATAGGAAATAAGGATGTAACGGCGATGTTGAACCGTCCACCATTCATCGGGTGGTACAATGACATGACTGGACAGTGTATGCGTGAAGTAATAATATCGACGGGTGATGAATCGGTGATACTGGTACACGGTGGACGGTAGAGCGACAAAACGAGTGCATCAGTCGATTCCTGTTACTACGACGAATAACTGATATCGATAGCCTATGAAGTCAATTTTTCAGTTAGCAGGGACCTGTAACGTGAAAATAATGTCCTTTTCGTGAGTTTTTATAAAAAAAGTTTTAGAATGAGACTCACAATAGGACCGGTTAGATCATCAAAAATCTATGGTGATGACTGGTGTATTAGCAGTTTCACCGAAGCTTTTGGGGTCGACAAATCTGAATCTGAAATTAGTTTTCTGATTTTTTTTGCACTAAATGACGGGTTTTTGGGGGAAATAGCGATTTTTTTTTATAAAGTCTGATAAAAAGTGCTCAGCACAGAGGTAGTTTGACTGAAAAATGGAGTACAGAATTTCAAGAAGCTGATTTCGGATTCAGATTTCTCAACTCTGGTTGGTTTAGGTAAAACCTTACAAAATATCGTTATTTTTCTAGAATAGCTTTGCCTTAACGAAAGAATCAGATCAAGGAATTTTCAGTCACCTAGTAACTGGTAAAATAACCATTTATGTAACGATAACTTCGTATCTTTACTCGATTTCGATTACAATAAAGTCAAAATTGGAACTAGTGCATCCCGAGTAACACCTACCGTAGTATATTTGGATCGATGTCACCTATGCACGACCGTCACTGTTAGATCCCTGGTAGAAATCATTCACAGATAGTGTAAAATGCGTCGTCTGTTACAGAATTAAATGGCAGTATACAGGAAAATCATGGTGCGTAAATAGCAGAAATACGCCTAAATCGGATAATTCTATTTTATTCGTAAACAGGTTGTATACGATAGAACACGAATATAATCTTTAATTATCGATCAGTTTTATGGCATGTAAACGGTCGCGTACAATGATCGTAATTTATCTGATGAAAGGTTACGTTTCTTAACCAGTGACCTAGCAAACTGGTAAATTTTCATCAACTTTCTTTATTTTATATCATTAAGATAAACTGTGCAGGTACCAAGTTTTTAACAGACAACTAATTGAATGCTTTACAGTTGATAACAGATAATTATTTATGAGAACAATCAAATAATCAATTGTTATTTTTTTTTTTTTTTGTATTCATTTCTCTTCCGATTCTTTATGAGCTATATATTTTGACTCTTTTTGCTATTAGACGATAAATGATTCTCGTGTGTTTTTTAATTCTATATTTACTGACATAATCCAATAATAATTAATTACTTTTATGAAATGTCAAGCATTAGAACAATGATGATTGTTCAATAATTGACTAAATGGTATTTGTTTTGTATTTTATTAAATAATAATCAAATATGATATGCAATGAAAACATTAGAGATTTTTTAGTTTAAAAAAAATGTCAAAATAATTTTCAGCTTCATATTTTCTATTAAATACATTACATTAAACTTAATTTTTTTTCGATTACAATTTTTAAGTGATGTTTTTTAAAGAGAAAAATCTCATAGTATGAGAGTTAGATTAAAAAACAATTCTTTTTATGTAATCTAGTTACTTGTTTTGCTGTGAAATATGTCGATGGATGTTGACATCAGTTGGCCGTAAAAAGATTGAAGAGAAAAACGTCGAAGCTAGAAAAATAGGATGTGGGCGATAGTGCACGGCAAGCTCTAGCCGTCTAGCAAATGTGTAGAGTGCACTTATCACCAAATGCAAAAAAAAACTAGAAAAAAGTATCTTCCGGATGACTATTCAATTCAGATTAGAAAATTTCATTGAGAGTATCAAAGTACGGGTAGACCGGATCCAAGTTCGAAAACTTTGAAACTACAAATTCTGATGTGTGAAAAGAAGACCGATACCCGACAAGCCAAAAACAATGGCTATTCAACACCGTATAAATAATCTTAGTGAAAAATAGAGTTCGGCTATTCCAAAAACTACTCTGAACTGAAGCCGGAAGCTCAGTTCCGGCTCGATTTTCAAAATTTCACATGAAACCTGAACTGTTAAATCATCAAATAGATACAAAAATTTTAAATAAACTTTGAGACATTTTTACTATTGAGTTATTAATATTAAAGATACCACATATTTCAGTAGTTCAACAAAACAGTATGATAGATAGATGCTGAAATCCTTTATTTCAAGAACGAAAAAAATGAAGATTTCTTGGTATAGATTTAAGAATTTTTGCATTTATCTGATGATTATACGATTTCAAATCGTTTAAGAATTCCAAAAGGTTGTCTTTCACAATTTCGATTCGCTTCTCAGTTTGAGTTTTTTTTTTTGTATCTGCTGAACTCTAGCGAACGATATCATGAGAATCTTATAAATGTAATTGAATATTTATATGACTTGTCATTCAAAATTGCTAAACAACACATGACACAATTATTTATTTATTTAGTTTTATCCCTTGACTTATATATGATCTATATAATAATGTTAGTATTATGCAAAAAAGGTGTCTTGTTAGTTGAAGCACTCGATCTCTCCATAGCACACCTCGAAATCTGTATTTTTCTCTTTCTGTACGATTACTTCTATTATATTTTCTTTTTCGAATGTGTGTGTACGAATTTGTAGTGATGAGACGTCAAATAAAGTGAACAATATTATTTCATGAACAGTTCCTCGCTTACAATTAACACAATGTAATCGAAACAAGAAAGCAGAAGTGTACGACAAAAGAATAATTCACATTCAAAATATGATCATTGACAGGTACATAATATGATCTATTACATTGAGAAAAATAAACGTACTCGATAAGAAGCATAATTATGTTTATTTATGATATTCAAAACTATAGAACGTCATCAATTTAGAAAAATAGATAAACAATGATCAAATATTTATATTCATAATTTATGCAATTTATGAATGTCGTTTTCTTTTTTTTTTCTCATTATATTATTGACCATTAGCTTGTTTTTTTATTATCGAAATATATGAAAAATTTTAGAGTTGATAATGAATATTCAAGTAAAAAATTTTCTAATATAAAATCATATATAATATAAAGAAGGAAATGAAAAACATGAAAATAGAAGTTCAGATTATAAGATTTTATTCTATAAGAAGAAAAACAAAAAAAAAAGAATCATTCAATGATCAACAACTTTTCTTTTTTTGTTTTATGTTATTGTATGAAAATATGAATCAACATTATATCAAATTATTAATTCTTGTGAAAATCATAATTAACATTTAATTAATATTGACTTATTTTTAAAGATATTTATCATATAAAAATAAATTTGTCAGTTTATTCTAATAGAATTTAGAATCTTTGATTTCATTGAAATCTATTGAATCTCATATGTAATAAATCGATTATTCTGAATATTTTTAGCTTGTTTTTTTAATCAAAAATGTCAGAATATTATATATCGAATAAAAGAATTATTCAAATGAAGCAATTGATTAATTTATATTAATAATGGAGAAATCTTCAAAAATGATTATCATATAGTTGAATCTGTTTTACATATGAAAAATGTCTAAATGCAAAAAATATGTCAGACATAGACGACATTGAAGAACAAAAAAAATACGATAATGGATTGCAATTCAGAAGCAATATTCAATCATTATCTTTTAGTCTCAAATCATGAAACATTTCACGCATTTAGTATAGATAGTTTTTTTTGTGAAAAAAGACACGATTAGCTGAATTTTCATTTGCATTATGACATTTTGTTTCTGTTAACAAGCTGTCGTTACTGTTTCAATAAATCGAATTGTTTTTTTCTTTTTGAAGAAATATAGTCATTTTAATCTCCTATATGTTTCAGTAGACATAGCTCTTTCATTTTTGCATTTTAAACGGAATTAAGACATATATATATATATAAATATGTGCGTGTTCACATGCAACAAGAGCAAAGCATGAAACATTAACATTGACATTATTGCATCTACTATGTAGATGTCTTTTGTGTATATGTGGATTCTTTTTTTGAAAGAGAAACAAACAAACACATACTATTTCATTTGATTAGACTGTTCGACATGCTTGTAAGTGTCATTCAATAACTTTGCATGTTTACATTTGATTTAAATTGTACTGACACTTAGAAATTTTGATCAACATAAAAAAAAAGTACACTCGAACATACTGATTCATATGTTTGTTAATCAAAATTATAATAAAAAATAAAAATTTCTTTTATTTTAATCAATTTTTATGAAATATGTTTGTTTTCATTGTATATTATTTATTTTAATTTTATTAATATAAACGTAAAGAATATTAATGTCTTTTTTTGTTCTACATTCATTCTCTCTATAGTCAAAAGGGAATTTTGAGTTATGTGATGCATTATTATAATTATTGTTCTACCTTATTGCATGTTAAAAGATAAAGAGAAAAAATAAAGAATCGTATTATCATAACATCAGAGTAAGCAAACAGCTGCTCATCATTTGAACAGTTTATTTAATGAGAAATGAGAAAGTAAAAACAACATCATTTGACATAAATGGCAAATATATATATATGTATGTATGTATGTATGTATATATGTACAAGTAATATGTCTAAAAATATAATCAATAAAAAGAGAAACATAAGTTCTTTTTCTCGTTGATAATCGATCCTCATATTGACTATCTGGTAATTACTGACTACACATTAGAATATATCCTTTACCTTTTATCTAGTAAAGTTCATCACTACAAATTATATTTAATTGATAAAACATCTGCCGGTAAAAACACTTATAATAGATTTCATTTGTCTGTATTCTAAATCGAATGAAGGATTTTGAATAAAGAAAACAATGTTCTTTTTTTTCTTTTTTTTTTTGTAAATAATCTGTCATTATATTAAAAACATTTGTACATAAAAGGTTAGATGGTAAACTAATTTTGACTACGTTCTATTTATCATAGCATACTATAATGGCCAAATAGTTAGTAATAGAGAATTATTTATGCATTTATGCAAACTATAAAATACTAATTATTCTATTTTTATGATTGCAACTTATTTCGATTTAGCATATTCTTTATTTGCAATATGTTTATTAGGATAGATAAAAAGAAAAACTGATGAGCTAATCTGAAATAGATATTTAAATCTATGATTTGTATTATAAAAAAAAAAAAGACAAGAATCCTGATTTCTAATTTTTTTTCTTCTTTTTTTTTTTTGTTTTCTTCTTTATAGTTCTTTTCTTAAAGTACTTTTTTTTCTTTTCATCACTGTCGTCGTTTCTATTCTGTTGTCATTCTTATTATATAACTATCACAATCATAGTGCTCGGTTTGCTAATGGAATTGGAATCAACGATCCACCCGGGATTGAAGATCAAAGTAGTAATGCAGATCATGTGTCTTTGATGAACGCGAGAAACATATTTTCTTCCCTTGTTCTTTATAAAAGAAAAAGCTCTTCGTGTATGGATTAAGGATTTTTATATCATTTGTCTTTTATCTATTGATAGTTATCATAGGATATGATTCTTTTTAGATAATAATCACCTATTAACGTATATGTCATGTAATTTCTTATGGATATAAGCGACAATATATATAATACTACTAGTAGTAGTATTTTGGGAGATGAACTTAAATTTGGTATCGTTAAAATATGTTTATTTAGTGCATTCTTTGTACTTGGTCTTATTGGTAATTCTCTTGTACTTATTGGTATTGGTCTTAATAAAGGCATGCAAACATCAACAAATTTATTAATATTTAATTTAGCACTTGCGGATGTATTATTCATAATTTTTTGTATTCCAACAACTTTATTTAGTTTTTTTGGTCGTTGGCCTTTTACTGAATTTGGTTGTAAATTAGGTAAATAAGAAAATTAATTATTTATTGTTTATTTTCGTTTTTTTTTTCTTATATTCATTCTATAATAGCTCAATTTATCAATCATCTATCTGCTTTTATAAGTATCTATTTACTTGTATTTATGTCAATTGATCGTTATTTTGCTGTTGTTCATGCTATTGATTCAATTTCAAATTATCGAACAACAAAAAATACAACTATTTGTATTATGTAAATTTTAATTTAATAAAATATAATTTTTCATGTTTTTTTTTCTTTCTTTCTAGAACTCTTTGGTTAATAGGTGTTAGTATATGTATACCTATTGGTTCATTATTTACACTTATCCAATTTGGTTCACCGACTTCAATGTATTGTCTATTACGTTATTTACAACCAGATACAAGTAGTTCAACAAATTCTATGATAACATCAAATATAACAAAAAATGAAATATTACCAATTGAAGCAAGTTTTTATTGGCTTGGTTTTGTTATATTTCTTTATGCTCTTCCATTAACCATAATTATTATACTTTATGGTTTAATGTTAAAATTTTTACGTGGAGCTCGTGGTCAATCAGTTGGTAAAAGTAAACGACGTGCAACACGTATGATATTAGCTGTTATATTAACATATGCTTTTTGTTGGTTTTTTATGCAATTATTATTTATATCAAATGTAATACTTTCAAGAAATACTAGTCATCATTTTGCAACATATATGGATGTATTAACAATGTTTGCAAATATTTTTGCTTATTTAAATTCAGTATATTGTTTAGAAAAAAAAAAAATAACATAGAAAACAAATTATTTTTTTCTTTTTAGT